CAGGCCACCCATGGTCCGTCAGTTGGCACAGGCGTACTGCGGTTGCACACAGTCTCAGTGACAGGCAAATCCGAAACTGAATATGGTCAACCGTTATATATATAATATATATATATATATATATAGCAAAGGATTTAAACATTTCGCAAACCACACTAGACTTTTGGCAAAACGGAATGGACATTTTGCAAACAATATTGGACACTGCATTCATAGCAGAAAAAGCAGCGGTTTGTTAGCAAGAAATGGGAAGTAAGGCGGTTGGATGGTGCTCAGGGTACCATGCGGTCAGGCTAATGCAACTGTGTTCTTTACGCAGCCAGTGCCACTGCAAACCCTTCTCTTTGTCGTGAGCCTCGATCATCTCGACCAAAGGCGGTGACTGAGTTTCCCCCTCTCACTCCATTCGTCTTCACGTATTTTGTAGGCATAAACCTGTGTGGCTGTGCTACTATTGGAAAGTCAGACTCCCGAATTGCGTAGTTTATTAAGACTTAGAGAAATGGTACCTAGCTTCGGAGGGTCATTGTGAAGCACTCGTTTTGTGCATGAATTGCGATGCCAGCAATGGATGGACCTGCACCCCGGGGTAGACCGTGTCATACTGAATGACATCAGTCGAATGGATCCAAGATTCACTACGTCTTTTTTAACTTCCTTATTGACCCGTTTGCCTTATCCTACTCACATGAAGGTGGCCTGTGTAACGTTTGTCCCAAAAATTCCTAACCTCTTTCTGAAGACACTCGTCCAATTTCCGTAACTTCATTCTTCATTCGTCTTTTCATAGAATTTTATTCGCTCGCTGGAGTCCTACTTTTCCATCTAACCGTCTTTAGTGTGGTTTTCTTCCTAAAAGTGGCTGCATTGAGGCCGCCAAGATATTACACTCCGCCCTAAGATATTCGCACTTGAACGGCATCCATTTACCAATTGTTACTCATAACATTACAACGCCTTAGATCCCACCTATCATGTTTCGCTGCTTCGTGAAGCCTCCACTTACAGTGCCCCCTCTTTTCTTCTACATTACCTCACTTCTAATACACCTCCAGCATCTCTATCGTCATAACTCTGAAGATTCATCTAGGGCATGTATTCCGTCAGGGAGATCCACTTTCTCTCTTGTTCTTCATCATTGCTCTTGCGGAAGCATTACACATGCCGTCTGCTACACAGTGGATTTCCTCATCAAGTCCAATGCATCATGTTGTAGCGAGAACCAAGCGTCAAGAAAGCACAACCTTTATTGCATGCGGACACGCTTTTCACAAGCTGCGCGCACGCATGCATTTATCGACCATATCTCCGTCCCAGAACGTGTCACGTTCGTGCCTTTTGTCCTGCATCTTTAGGGGCCTTGGCTGCCTGTCTGATCCCGTAGCTCTGCTTCCGTAGTTCGCATTCTGATTAACCTTGTGTTGTTCTAAGGCTCTCGATTTGCTTGATCTCGGTTGCGTTATGCGGCTTGGAGTTACTCCCAGATGCAGCGACAAAGCTGTTTCTGTCTGATGGAAATTGGGTGTTGCCCGCCCAAAAACAGTACAAAACCACGACGCGTTTCGATGTCATTTCATCTCATCAGGTGGAGATAGCAGACCTCAAATCCGCGACCATTGGAATGGCAGCCAAAACCACTACCCCTTTGGCTACCGAGTCACGGCGGGCAACGCTTGGTACAACGGTAAATGACTAATTGGAGGGTCAATGTTGGACTACATGTTGTGTGATTAGATTGCGACGCGCAATCTCAAAGTGGACAGCGACTCACGTTGATATGAACCTTAGTCACTACGATCACTGGGACCGTAGTCAAAGCGGATGGAAAAATTGGGTGCCGCCCGCCAGAAAACACCGCACGACCACGATGCGTTTCGATGGCATTTCGTCACATCAGGTGGAGACAGCAGGCCTCGAACCCACGACCATTGGAATAGTAGCCGAAACCACTACCCCTTTGGCTACCGAGTCACAGCGGGCAACGCTTGGCACAACGGTAACTGACTAATTGGAGAGTCAAGGTTGGACTACACTTTGTGTGATTGGATTGCGACACGTAGTCTCAAAGTGGACCGTGACTCATATTGAAGTGAACCTTAGGCACTGCGATCACTGGGACTGTACTCAAAGCAGATGGAAATTAGGTGCTGCGCCAAGCGTTGCCCGCCGTGATCCGGTAGCCAAAGGGGTAGAGGTTTCGGTTACTATTCCAATGATCGCGGGATCGAGGCCTGCTGTCTCCACCAGATGAAATGAAATTATATCGAAAGGCGTCGAGATTGTGTACTGTTTTCGGGCAGGCAGCACCCAATTTCCATCTGCTTTGAGTACGGTCCCAGTGATCGCAGTGACTAAGGTTCACTTCAAGGTGAATTACAGTCCATTACATTGAGACTGCGCGTCACGATCCCATCACACAACGTGTAGTACAAAGTTGACCCACCAATTAGTTTTTCTGTCTGATTTAATGGCCTATCGACATATCCCTTTCCCGTACTCTTTGGCTCAGGCCTGTTCCCGTTCGTTGCTCGCGGTGCACCCTTCGCGCGCTTGTTGGGTTGGCGTTGCGCCGTCCGATCTCATCCATGATGTCTGCAACCGTTTCGGTCCTCACTCGTTCTAGTGGCTTTTCAGTCTCCTGCTTGATCTCTGCCTTCCGCGTCACTACGATATCTCTTAAGGAGATGATGTCGTACTATTAGCCTGCGACAGCGAATCCCTGACCGAACGCCCAGTTCGATTTAAGGAGGACATGCATCATCATGGATTGTCGATAAGCCACATGAACTCGATAGTACTGTATATCGTCTCGACCGCCACGTCTTGCGGTTCTCTACAATAGTTCCTTGTAAGAGGCACAACGATATCGTGAAGTAACTAACCAACCTCATTCGTCGCAAAGGTGCCCAAATCATCCCGGAGCCCCGCCTTCCAGCGGCATAAATGTACATCAAGCTGGATTTAATCGTCATCAAGAACTGCGCAGCACACATACTGGACGTGGCAATGTGCGACACTTACAGAATGACCCCTAGCTACCAACTAAAAAGTGAAAAATATGGTGTAAATAGTCTTGCGGAAGCAATACCCCGCTCTGTGCACTCGGAATTACCTACGACATTACATAAAATGCATCAAGTGATAATCCTCAACAGCTAAGATCATGTATTCCCAGAGTCCGACAAGGACATCCCGTCACTGAGGCTCACCAAACTTGACATATCCAACTTGTGTTGTCTACCATGGGATGATCCCTCAAACTTGACAACATCTACTTGCGGAGTGCAATGTCACAAAACATATCACACTAACAACGTACACTCACACATTCGCGAGCGATTCCTACCAATATTTTGCTTTTGATATGGTCAATGTTACAATATTACGCCAGGACATTTGTCCAATTTTGGAGAATTTATGTAATGTCCAGGTCTTGGGCCATGCATTAACTTGTCGAGAATATATGTTCATGAACCGCGATTCCCATTGAAGTAAACCCTGGCCAGTTCGATCCCTGTGACCGCAACTAATGAAGCAGCTAAACGGTGTGTGGACGAACCCATGCAAGTGCATGAGTATCGGGATAGTGTAGGCCATCATGACTCCACCAAACCCAGTGCAGCTTTATTGGCCTACTGCTGCGATTGGTTATCAACGAATGGGGAATAAGATGATTGGACGATGTTCAGGTCACGCTAATTCAACCGAACTGTGCAAGCAGCTGGTGATTGTGCCAGCCCATCACCTGTCCATGGGAGTTGTTCACCTCGATCATAGCCGGTGACCCACTTTTCCCTGTCTCTCTACAGGTCATCGCGTAGTTTTTGTCAGTGTGTGGGCGAATGTATGCAGCGGCACCATTATTAGAACCGTGCAGACTATCATGCCTCCACTGAACCCAAAATAGCTTTATTGGTTTTGTGCTGCACGAAAAGGCCGAAATGGTTGTCTGATTGTTCGCTGAGCTCTGCAGATGAAAGACTGAACGCACTTTCCTGGCGACTACTGTACAAGCGAACATTATCGACACAGAAAGTAATCATCATCCTTATGTTTGTCGGCAGCAAAACCGACCACGAGATCTCTGAAGTCGCCGATGCCAACGAAAGCGAGGTGGCAATACTCAGCGCAGATGTGAGGAAAACAACAGGGAGAAGCTGACTCCAGACATCTTGCAGCGCGCTGAAGAGACCACTGAACGGCATTCCAACGATAGTTTGGTGCAGCTGCACCAGCAGCTGAGAGAAAAGGGTATCCACCTTTCCGTGTCTACCGTCTTCATTGCCCTCAGGAGGCTAAAGATAACGCTCAAAAAGTGTCACTACGAGCTAGACCGTGTCAACGGTCTCACGACATTCGCAAATCGTCAAAAGACGAATAAAGGGTTACACGACCTCTACTGTAAACCTGGCTTGGCGACGTATGTAAACTTTCACACATAACAGTCTGCGCAGTGAAGAATTATGGCTTATCTGCACGTGATGTCACAAGAGCGAAAGTGAGTAAGCGGAGTCATGACAGGACATGTGAATTCCCGTGATGGCGAGTGGCTGCGCCAAAGAGGGTAAGTGGAGGCGCAGTTTGCTTGGACCCTGCTTGTGAGATCTCATGGGAACATCCGCGTTCATAATCTTCCAGAGCTTGCCCATTCTACTGTCTTGCATGCAGGATTCAGTCACTGTGTGATAATTGCTGTTAATGCGTCCGTATAACGGTGTCTACGCAAGGACAAGCACTTCATTGACATTGCCTTTGTTTTACACTGTGGTATCATTTTCAGGGAACTGGTGGCTATGTCGATTTTACAACAGAAGAACATGATGCGCATGGTATGTAAAACCATGACAATTCAATGCACCGTTTGGGCTCAAGTTTCTAAGTAAATAAGTACTTAGATTTACACAGGTGGCCGGCTTCCTAAAGTCTCGTAGCTATGAATATGTTGCTGTAACGGATCGAAATTGTAATGAACCCCGATTCTTCACAAACCCTGCTAAGTAACTCATCCAGAACGAGAGAGACTTGTATTAACTTCAGAACAGAAGCTTCATTCCTCTCGAAGTGCGACAATGAGCCGAACCAGATCGACTCGTTCATGAAAGTTGAATATACAAACGGAAGTGTATGAATTAATATGGTGGTATAAAGTAGTGGGAATCACAAAGAAATCGGTCACTGAATTCCTCGTCGGTGGTGGCTGTACTGAAATTTGTGAGTTGCGTGGCCGTCGTGATGACTGATAGATTGGATAATGCACTGTGATTAGGCACCAGTGCCTCTACGTCCCCGGAGTCTTGTGAGGATAACCGGGCATAGTTTTCGTAGGTTGAGTGCGATTTGAGCAACGTAACCGGGAAGTGCACTCGTTGCATTTCACTGCCCAACAACACCTCAGTCGACTCAGTAAACACCACTCGTCCTACTTGAGAAGACGGGAAATTTAGGGTGCCTGTTTCTACTAATGCTTGTGTGGAAATTTCCTCCTGGTGAGCAGATGGCGGTGTACGTGTTTTATTCACTCTGGTATCCGGTGGTGCGAGATGTGTCTCATTCGTACCCCCTACAATCCCGGGTTCCACAAAAGCCGATGGCTGCGCCAAATTTACTGTGTTCAATTCTGCAAAATGTATTCCAAATTTAGTTGTCATTCCATTCTCAGCCAATTTTTCACCCGGAGTTTGCACATTGCTTTCGTCATTTAATGAGGGAATATTGACGATCGTGACACTCGGCTTCAGTAAAGAGTTAGACAGGTGTATTTTTGAAGTTGCCGACTGTGTGAGTTCTTGAGAAGGACTTGCATGTGAAGTTGCTTTCGCTATTGGACCCACACCTAATCCAGCTTGAAGTGCGAATACCTCTGGGGTTTCCTTCAGTCCTGTCTCGTTATTCCTAAAGTGGGTACCGGATCTCTGTATTGTTCTTTGGGTTGCTTTCGAGCGTGCATCCAGTGCCGCTTTAGGGTGTATTCCCTTTACTCCTAGTTCGCTATTGCGAGCTTCCGACGCGGAACTTACCGTCGCAGGTATTCCATCTGCTGTCGTAGTTGTGAATGCGGGTAGGGTTCTTGTCGATCGATCGACTCTCGCTCTGGAGGAAGTTCTTTCTGGTCCCGAAGATGAAGCTTCCGTCAGCTTTGTATGATTTTTTTCAGGCACCACCCGCACTGAATGAACAGAATCCTGCGGTTTCCTCGATAACGGCAAATCAGACGGGCTATGCAGCTTTGCACGTGGCTCATTCAAAGTTTCTTCTTTTACACTTGTAGAGGCTGTTCTTGGTGACGATTGTAAGGTTGAGTACCCCCGTTCTGTCACTTTCCGGTCTACTGGATAACTAAGCTCAGCTTTCCTCATTAACCTAACTGCAGGTTGGTTTGCCTCGGAGACCATTCCTCTTTGTGACCCAGGCCTCAAGGCGCTTTTAATATTAGTCCCCGATCTCGATGGCCTTGGTGATCCAGTTGACTGCGTAGGTTTTTTGTGTTCTTTAACTTGACCTTCGCTCTCACCGTAGAAACCGGCTGATGTATCCACAGCTGCTGCCTTTAAACTATGAGACTGTTCTCCCAGTTCCATCGACTCACCTTTCATCACGTCTGCAGCCTGAAAACGATGAGGCTTCGGGTACTTCAAACCACTGTCGGATGCCGAAGTGCTGTGTGCTTTCCCAGCAACACCAGGCGAAGGTGACAACCTCAAAGTACTGGTCCTCTTTGGTTCTCGGTAACTCACTGTGTTTTCTACATACATTCCAGGTTCCTTTTTCTGGGTCAAAATCCCAACCATAGAATGTTGTTTTCCAAGAGATTCTAGGTGACCAGAGAAGGGCCTTGTTCGTCTAGTTTCCTCCCTGCTTTTGCTGCTCATTGCACCGGCCAAATTTGGACGAGCTGTTGCTGGTTCCGTGTCCACCATCAATCCTGTCGGTTTAGATAGGAATTGATTAGGTTTTGTGACGTTATGTGGAACTGGGGCTGATAAGGCAGATAATGCATGTATTCTTTCTGTAGTGTGCCGTTTGGCACTACTCAGTTTTGGTCCATATGAACTGATGGTTGAGGCCGCCCTCTTATCAGTGGGTCCATGTTTTCTCTCCTTAAGCATTACAATGGGTTCTTTCGGTGTATTTGCACTCCGGAAAGCTGTATCTTTGGAAGTCTCTGTTCTAGATTTCTCATGTGTGGTTATTGGTGGATCTTCAGTCGGTTTTACAATTGCTCCCGCGTTGCCGACGGGAGGTTGACGGAGGCCTATCCTCTGTAACTCAGCCCGAGTTTGTTGATTACCCCAACTCGTTCTAGACCCTATCTTAAATGGAACAATCGTTTTTGCTACACGCCCGGTTGCGATCTCCTTTGATTGCTGTTGCGCGGTGCTTGATTTCGCCAATGAAGTGTCTTTCTCACGCTCACCTTGTCGATTGTGAACGGGACCTGGCATGCGAGAAATTTTCACTCTGGGAGAGGAACCTGTGCGTGATTCCACTTTACTGGTTTTCGTTTCACCATGACCTACCTCAGGTGCGGCCGGCTTCAAATACTTTGCCAAGTTCAGGCTCATTTTCTCTTCATGCTGTTTCCAAGCTTTTTGTAATCGTGGGGGAGACCGCAATATAGCCTTTTCGCTTTTCCTCTGCTGCTCGACGTCTCTTGGTGAACTGACTGGCAAACCCATATCCTCCTTAGCTGTGCTTTTGATGGATTTCCTGGTGCGAGGACGAACTTTTTGTCTCTTTGTACCTAATTCCACCAGTTCATGGATGATATCTTTCAAATTTTCCCCTCCCATCTCTTCGACATCGTCATTCTTTGCTCGTAGACTCTCCAATGTCGCCGCGGGATGCATGGATGAACGTTGGGATTTCTGCTCCTCGAGCGTGGGCACACGGGCCTGGGACTTTTGCGCGAATGGCATATTCAACCGCACCGCTTGCAGTTTGACCGGTTTGTGGCGAAGTTGTGGACTAGTTGCCTCAGTGACTTCCCGCAAGATCTGCCCAACTGACCAGTCATCCAAATGCAGCTCTAGCGGCATCGGAAATGGAGGAGGGGGGTTGTTGTAGATCCCTACTCCAGCCCGGTGATAGAATTGCCCTGCGGCAATGTACTCCTCATTCTCATTCTCCTCAGGCTGTGGTCGAAGGCTTGCAGATTGCGAAACGCCCATACTATTTTTATTCATTCTGCTTGAATAGCAGTCATCTTCCTCCACGTCAATTTGCCTACTTCGGATCAGTTCATATCGTAGCAATTTAAATATTCCAAGCTTGTCTGAGTGAAGGTAGAAATGACAGGTTTGGTGCGAATGAGATGTGCTTTGAATTGGTCGACTGAAAAGTCCTATCAAAATTGTGATGGGGAAGTTCCAGTTTCTCGTTAAGGTGGATTGGTATCGTTTTAGGACCAAAGCATGTAAGCTTCTGCTGTCGCTCAGCAAAATGTCGGTGTTTGTTAATCGTGAAAGTGTGGTGCTAGAAGCGCTTTTCTTCACAACAAATCTCGCACATATCTCTCCTTGTGCAGCATCCTCCTGACAGACAGAAAGGTCTGATTGTGTTTGGAGAGATATTGCAGACAACGGCCTGAGTAAGGGAAAACATTGGCTCACAGTCATTATGTTTCTATGCAATCGAATGTACCAAACCCTGTCGAAGTTTTGCATCCTTCCCTTCGTTGGTAATTCTTTGCTCCCATAGGCATGATCGAAGTGGTAGTAGTTCAGCACTGCATCTTGAAGAGATGTTACATGTAATGGGCAGCCTGAAAGTTTCCCAAACCTAGTGCATCGGCAACATCTTGATGGCTGTAACTTGAGGTGTGGGTTGTTTCGAGGCATTTGCAGAACTAAACCTCGAGGAGTTTGAATGCTTTCCTTAAGCAAGACGCATAGTATTCCATTTTTGACAATCGCAATTGAGTGTTCCTCCGCATAGGGACGCTGTTGGACGTCTCTCTTTTCGACCACACTTAAATCATCAGACAGAGTGGAACAGGGAAGACATAGCTGAACAGCTAATTTTTGCAGGAGCCATGCTGCGGCCTCGCGTTGTGAGTTATCTAACCAGAGGTCTTGCAGCTTGACCTCCGTGTCCTGCACATTTTCCAACGAGTTAGAGTTGTTCTCATTTGGTATATAATGTGGCATATTTAACAGTTTATCCGATGACCATAAGAGTGTGCTCACCAGTAAGGTCGTTTGTTGTATTATGGGTCCGGTAGTTTTGAGGACGGGTAAAACTGAACCAGGAGAACACATTGTCTCGAATGAAATCAAATAAAGTTTCCACATCAATACTGATACGCTTATAGTAGCAGAACAGGCTGATGTAGATTCCTGGCCATTAATACAACTTCTTCCGATAAGCCGTTGACGTCCGTGAACAGTGAAACATCCCGGCACGTGTTGACGGACCAAGCCCCTAGGTTCAATGTCATTGGGAAGTATATGTTCACGTTCCAATGGCCAATTCCTTCTTCTTGCGCATAGTGTCAACCTCCGAGATAGAAGAGTATAGTCCACAAATACTCGGCATGTGTGCTTGCTTCCATTTGTTTGACTTGTATGAACCTACAGATGATAGTAAAGTTGGCGGTAATTCAAGTGCACCGTTGGAATGTAAGTTATCCTAGCACACATCTGGTTAAAAATCTAAACCACATAGCGCAAGAAGCTGGTGAACATAGCACTGGAAACACTGATCCCCATCCCCACCATTACATCAATATGTTTGCTACAAGCCTTATTAGTATCACAGTTTTGCAACCTTTTTTCTTCGCATCCCACAGTGTAAACTACCTTACCAAGTCATATTTTTATCACTTACCTGAAGGAGCACATCGCTGCTTTCTGATCTTACACCGTCCACTGTCAATACACCAGTGTGTTGGGCTTATTTATTCAATAATTTTGGGATCCATTCGTTCACGGCCAATTTCAGCGGCTTGCTTACCCTTCAAGCGGCAAATTCAACTTAACAGATCGTGAACATTCTAAGATCACTCAACTCACTATCCTTCCTCTCACAAAATGTTTTTCAACATAGTAACTCAGTGGTGACGTTAGAATCACCAATATAATGAGCAAGTTTCGCTCATCACAAGCAAATTGATCGTCCACCACCACCAATGTTTGTGAGGAAACCTAGCGACCGTGAGTCCTGGTCACAGGTGATAGTAAAGTGTGTTGCCTAGGAAATTAGTTGGCAGATAACGACCTGTGCGCCTCCTTGAGGGTCCGACCACAGTGGCTTATGTGTAGTGAGTTTCTTTGTCCCTCCCCATTTCATTTACGTCCCGTATGCAACCACATTCTCAGTCTTGAATTGCATTATGTTACTAAACAGTATAGTACCCATTGGATTTTTGTATATTTTGTAATATTTTCATCTCCCTTTTTCATGTATTGTATATTTTGTTATTGCGGTTCAGTAGTTGTAGCGTATTTCTCACCTTCAGCTAATGTGTAATTTTGCTTCTGATGAGATTGCAATGGCTTAAAGGCAACTTTGACCGACCGGCGCAACTGTTAACCTCTCCAGTTTTTCTGTCACGAGACCTTCCATCGATTCAGACGTCGTTATTTCAGCTCAGTAAACCGGTAGCACTACTTTCGATGCCGCACATGAAGTTGCACTGACATTGCTGCTCACATCATCCAGGTATCAGATCCAGTGGGTGTTGTGTACCGCATTCCATCGTATACTTCAAGCACAATCTCATAGTCACTTTCTTCTGCTAGTTGACTCCAATGTTCAAGCACAAGAAACCACCGCCTCGCTTAATAACACCTCAAAATGGAATTACAGGAGCTAATCGTTGGATCACGGTTGTAAAAACAAAGTTCCTTTCCCTGCAAGTTTCAGGACGGAGAACAAACTTGGGAAACATGCGAAACCTACAAGACCTAGCGGGATGTTTGCGTGAGCCTGGTACGCAATGGTAAGCTAGAGCACCAAGAGAATCTGGCCGTGAAATTCCGTGCAAACTCAACGACTCCTTTATAGGCACTTCACCAAGCTGTTTAACCTGTACCGTGGAATTTCCACCCTAAACGCGTCACTAGGACGAGCGCAATCTCGTTTACCGTTGCAAACGTTCGGAAGAGACTGGTTTCCTTGCACGAGCATACATCTGTTCATGCAGACAGTATTGGCCTTAAAGCGTTGAAGATGGCTGCTATGAAGCTGACCGAAGCATTCCCCTAGGTTTTCTAACGATTTTTTGACGATATGCAGGTTCCAACGACGTGCAAGCAGAAACTTCCCATTCCCGTTCCCAAGGGGGAAGTTGTGCAGATCTGTAAAACTATCGCGTGATGATACTCCTCCCGGAACTCTCTAAAGTCATGGAGGCCATTATATCCGCAGCGCTCATGGGTTACTTGGAATAATGCAACGTCATAGCACTAGAACAAAATGCATCACGTACTACTGCAGTGCGATCGTGACAGGGTATAAGAGCGGATGACTCAGAACTATCAGGTGCAGGGCAGTGAGCGTGCACCATCAATTCACATGCGAGTACAGGCAGAGCGATCAAGTTTTGCTACGCGCTTCTACTGGATGTGAGCTAGAAGTGATGGTGCGAGAGGATAATTGCTGTTCATGTCAGACCGAGACATTATCCGGAAATCCAACGGACATTTTGGTTTATTACAGATAGCATTCAGGCGATCTGCCCTTTCCATCTTCTTGCAGATGCCTATATTCAGTCGATTCGGAATACTTCATCCACACCTGGCAGACCTGGCACAAACATGATCTTGCCGTACTTGTAAAACCACCACGAAAGGCGACCAAGGATGCAAAAAGCACTTTTCATCGCTATTATCAACTGAGACTGAAAACCCTCGCAGTCTACTGTGGACAATATCGACGTTAGGGTGGCGATTCAATAGTGACGTATTTGATCCGGTAGGATCCAAACCATATTTGTCGTCACGTTGTGAATCTTAAACATAACACCACTCCGAGGCTTCACTAGCTAAAGGCTGGCCGCACAATATAGCGGGTTGGAAGTCTACCGGAATTTCTCGTCACTTCGCATGTGCCAAACTTGGAACGCCTTCCCCACCTGAGTTGTTCCATTTCCCACACACATGGTATTCGAAAGACGTCTCGATAATGGTTGGCGGCATCCGGTTTCGATAATACACTCTTGCATTTTCATTACGCTATCTAGTCCTTTATAACCGTGCGCCAACCTAACACTGTCAATCAGCGTGCTTATTTTCACTTCCTGAACTTCATTGAGGAAACGCCGCTACAATGAAAAAACTGGATGTGCGTAGCTCATTCGTCCAAGGAAGCGGCACACGAGTGCACATTTTCATTTTCTTTTTAAATTTTTTGTCATAGTATACGTCAACTGTAACTGTTCCTCATCTTGTTCGTGTACTTACAGTTACTTCCCATTTAATACTATCGTCGTGCAGTAGTGCAGTTACATCAGTGGATGTTAAAACTGACGAGTCACATATCAGTTGGCTTGATACATTTCGTCTAAGCACTTTGTGGAATTTGTAAAGCACCAGAGCGCCATCACGGCATACCTGTTTTGGTTGATCAACTGTATTGTTTGTTGTACATATGAAAACGGTTAAGAGAATAGACAAACCTGCTGTCGTGATTGGGGCTGCTGTTAGAGAAATCAAATGTGGTAGAGTCCGTAATCTCTTTTAGAAAACATGTCGGTTCACATGTTTTCCGATGAGGGAGAACTTATGAAATTATCTATCTGACATTTTTGTCCCTGTTGCTGTTTACACTAAATAGCCACTTATCTCCCTCACTTTTATACCTCCACATTCAGGCTAGACATTTGGATCTTAAGTGGACGGAGTATAGTTGACATTTGCTAGCGCTGTCTGTCTTGTTGTATGCCTGGTAGGTACACAATCGATAGAGACACCGGTCACGTGCTCCAGCTTGCAGGTACTCACGTATCACAAACAGTTACACGTGTCAGGAGAAGAGGAGTACTTTGGTGTGGGAACTCGACGGTGTCTTGGTGAACGTCAGCACCGGTTGAAGACCGATCAATGGCGCAGAACATATGTACTCGCTGTTGCAACCAGTGGGAGAACAGCTGACCAACCATTAGATCACATTAGCTTAATTGCAAAGTAAGGCAGTCGAATGCCACCATCAACGCAGTAATCATAGCATTGGGAATTTGTAACCCGCTTAACTGAGGCCTAGGGAGAGTAACAATCGATGTAATTGGAGAGTTATCTAATTGTAACGTAGGCTGTCCGAGCAGAGCTATAAGCCCCACCACCACTGCTAAGAATTTGCTATATGGTTTCCGACACGCGACAGTTGCGTATGGTCGAGCTGCTCAGTCGATCTTTGGTGTCAACATGAGCAAGTCTCCATCACACGACGGACGAATGGCAGCTCCATTCCGCTGGTAAGCACTCCTTACATTGGTAGCGTGCGTTTAGCTGACTGTATTTGCGAAGGAACGATCTGTCCAACCTCCGAAACATTTCGACATGATGAATGCAGGTCGCCTCCAGGTTTTCGAACATCGCTGCCTACGGTGTATTGCTGGTGTCGGATGGCAGCGATAATGTGTGTAGGCAAGTGTTACGCGATGGTCAACAGGCTACTTCCTTAAAACAACAGATAAAGCCGAATAACTTGCGTTGGCTTGGGCATGTACTGTGTATGTCCGGGCAATGTTTACCGAAGAGAGCATCGTTTTGTTTGCCAGGTGGCCGGTGATGCAAGGCCCGAGGTGTGCAGAAACTGAGTACCCTTGGTCCTTAACTGCTTCAATTCAACCCCATCCGTCTCTCCTCCCAAACTCTAGTCCACGTGACTCATCTTGTCACAGGATATGCTTCATGGTCGGCATCAGTGGTGTGTCCGCTGTCCTCTGATTGTCTGACTGCCAGTTTACTATGTGTTTAGTGCTGAGTCACCTGAGATGTCATGGCTGATTATGACGCGGGGCAGTGAAAGCCGCAACGAAGCCATGTCACTGATACAGCCTTTGCATGATAACCAGCTGTTTGTGACGGTATGTAGTTGACACAAGGTGTAGGCGCCTTGACCCCGCGTGTTTTTTCAGGTTATTACGGCATTACGCTAGGTCCCTGTTCTCTCCCTCTTATTATTTTTCGTTTCGTGGCTCACCATGGTTGTACGACAGCAAAGCATCAGTACAATTGTCTGACGAATTACTGTTGTTGATGATCGAAATACTCGGTAAGCTACCTAAGCCGTTTCCCATTGTGTTGCATGCATGAGCGCAGCCGCAAGAAACGTTTACTTTTATTAGGGGATGGGAGCGCGTTCAGCAAAGTCGATTCATTTAGGGGCTTTTGTCGGGTAATTACCAGTTTGGGGCGATCTTCAGAGGAATGCATCTGTGTGACACAGTGCTAAACTGTCTAAAGTGCGTTCAGTTGCCTGCACAATACCACAGCGGTGGCCTCGAAGCGCATTGCGTGGGCCGTTTACGCTGAGGCGCAATGCTTGAATGATCATTTCCAACAACACACTTTCTTGTTCGCCCCACGATTAGTATCTAGAGGCTCATTCACAATAGTGTACGACCATCGAGCTTAGCACTACACTCTTTCCCGTAACTGGGAGTAGAGTATTGTGAAACTCAACGTCAAGTAACATTCGTAGGTTAGAGCGAGTGTTTTGGAAGGCTGTTCGCGAGGAACACTTCCTTGACATTAATGTCGAACAACAGGCTGAATGAACCGCGACGCGGAAGTTTGTTCCAAGTCCCACACAGCAATGCATGTTTCCGAGTATGGTATGCAAGGCAATAAAAGTTGAACTACGTTGATGGGGGTGATGCCAGATTTGTTAAGAAGTACCACCACCGTATGCAAAGCAATCACGGACTAACTGCGATGTAATTCATCAATTATTGCACACCCCGCATTGCTACTGCATTGCGCGCTCGCATTTAATCACATAAGGTAGACACTACATATATACCACGGCTCAGTCCTACTACCGCCGCACTCTATATGTAAGTGCTTATGGGCTATGTGGTCACCCATCGTCCTTCGCATCCGACCGGTATTCGCGCTTCAATTATGCTACGTAGGAAGCCACAATTCCTAAGTGTGAAGTACTAAGAGTACGTGACTGCAAACACCGGTACGGTCAGCCTGGTGGACAACAAACTGCTTCGGCGTTCCTGCTACGGTACGTCCTACAACGACACTTCAACTGAGATATGTTGGGGACAACGGAGAAGTTTGAACCTTATCCACTAAAATGGAGCTACCTTTCGTGACTTGCGGCAGCTAACACACCTCAGGAAGTTTGCAAGCACCACCATCATTGCTCATGGCTGTTGGATGAGGACAGAGTTTATATAAACACCCAAAACCGCAGTCTTTCCTTTTGTTACACTCATCCACACATTTGTCCCAAGGTATCATTTCGTTAACCCCATTACCTGTCAGGAGTTGTTAGTTCTAGCTGTAGACCACAGTTTCGCACTAGCGCTAACACTGTCGCCTTCCTCTAGTAGCGTACATCCGGTTTGTCTGTAACCTGCTCCATCCTTATTGGCTTTGTCCCGTCACACGTGTTTTAGTTCCTTTCGACAACTACATATCTGCTAGTCTTCCTGCTACATTAACAGCACCGTATTCGTATGGATAGAATCCGGTTCCTGTTCTCGCTACCGTTAATGACTGCACACAGTCATGGGCCAGCACAACATTGGCAAGTTATCACAGCCTATCATTAGGCCAACCTTGGTTTCGTCCTTTTGGCAGGCCATGCAAAGACATCGCACCTGTTGCTTGTTGAAATCCCTATCGCAAACATCTGTATCCTATACCTCTATCAAACCAATTTATAATACTTTTCAGTAGTTGTTTAAATATTGGTACATTGCTGAGATCGTGTTGGTTGTAGCTGAATATTCACCTGCCAAAGGTGTGCAAAGCGGTTTTTTATATGACTTGAGTCTGCTCGGGTTGTTGCTTCTTTACTACACATCGGGTTCACATAAATCTCCATTTCCTTTAATTTCGTGCTACGACATTTAACAAATACCCAGCCGGCCAACCAATGAACATATTGCTCCACTACCTAACAGCTCACTGATTTATGCGAAAGCCGAATACCAAGTTTTCCTACGGAAACATGGCACTCAGAGAGAGCGGATCCAGCTGATTGCAACTGTTTATTAACTAACCGAAAGTCGAGTTTGGATAACACAGCTATGTACTGTAACTGTGTTAACCCATGACTCGATTCTCAAGACCACAAAGACCAGTTAAGCGCTATGACATCATGGTTTTACTAAATCAACTGTAATCCTAGCAACCTAACTAACCTAGCAACCTAACTAGTAACGAGTGTTTGTGTCTTAAATAACGCACTCTTATTTCAACATCCATTTAACTGTTTTACCTTCGCCACGGAACGTTTTTACCTCTTTCGGTAATAGGTTACAATGAACAAACAATTGAGTACCCGAGTTTGATTACCTGGCCCAGGCGTAGATTAAGCAATTCACAAAGAATGCACACGGCAGCGGCGCATATTGCGTAAAATAAATGAAAGCAGTCAAGTGTGACTCATTTTCTTTAGTACACAAACAGGATTAGTAAAATAAGGCACAATTAAATCGGCTGCAAAATAAAACGAGACCACGGCTAAGTGGGCTGTAGTAAGGTTGGAAGCACAAAGGAAAAAAGGGGTGTGTTGAAAGCGAACTCAGTACGAGGGTGGAATATAAGCAATTGTGTTAGTGAACATGTCAAAGAAATCAGTTTCGGCGCTGACACAATGGCCGCTGGAACTGACTGAGATTGAAGTACCCAGCGGCGCTGTCGTGTTTGTTACACAGGAAGGCGCGCTGCTATTATCCACGTGCGAGGGTGAGGACGATGTAGGGGAGTAATCGTCAGGTCGGTACATAATTGCTGACGGGATTTGTGAGTAACTGATTTTGACATCATTAATTGAATCCGGTGACGTTTCCTTAACCCCGTGCCTAAGCGAGTTCTCTTGATGGTTACCAGTTTCACTGGGGTTATGTGTGCCGTGTCCTAAACTTCTCTTCCTCCTTATATTTTGTAGAAGCACCTTGAAGCGACACCAGGGTTTATTGATGTAGGCATGAGGATCGGATCGGAGTTGCATACTTACCGGGTCCGTGGTCGCGAATGTGGTGCCTGTGATGATATCCGGTTCAGGTGTGCTTCTGACAGGAATGGACACAGTCCTTAGAAACCTAACACTTTTGCCACGAAAGAAAGTCTGACTAGTATAAGAAGGCTCGCATCGGTGGCTTTGAGCGGCAGATCTACCACTTTTCGCATGATTTAGAACTTCATATCCGTTTGAAGGAACCTTACGAATATGTTGCTGGTTTGTCCGCCGCAACGCTTTCTCCTCTTGGGCACATAAGGGAGAACATGGAACCTTAGGCTCAGCACTCACTGCAGTCGGATAGTAAAGGCGCCTTTGGGTAGCAGAACTTGAAGCCACAGTGCTGTAGACAATATGGCTCGCATTAGTATCACACTTGGTGTTACCTAACGCACACGAGCTTAGTTCACTTTTCACCTGATTATCTCTTTCTTGGTGGCTACCAGTTAAGTGCCTTGTATAAAGTGACATTACGGACTCTGCTGTCGCACAACTTCTGAAGGACTGGTTAGGGGGGCCATCATTATCAGAGACAGTTATCGAGTGACTCTGTACATGGCATATGTGAAATCTTTCGCCTAGTTGCCTGTCCGCAAGTTTCAGCTCTTCAACAGGCAGCACTACGCTATTTGTTTGTACTGAGATTGGTCGCATGCCGTCTTTGTCATCCCCGTCGGTTGACATAGGCGCTCCGCTAAGCCCCGCCGAACTTGACCTGCTTAAGTGGTCATGCCGGCGACTGAGTGCATCCATGGGCAAATCTGAACGTCCATTGTGAATTCGCCTTTGCTTGGATAAACCTCCGGTGTCGTTGACGTTCACAGTAGGATGTTCCAATGAGAGGCGCTCAGTGTTCGTTAATTCTACTACTTCTGTGAGCAGAGGTTTTTCAACTCGGAGTTCTTTTCTTTGCCCAGAATTATCATGCATCGACAATTCAGCCGGGACCACCGGTGCCGGAAAGTCGGCACCTGAAGGAATATTGTGGGTTTTTTGGGAGGGAGTTGCTTGATATTCCACCCAATTTTGTGGCTTCAATTCGAACTCGAATTGGCCACTTTTGTACCCCGGGTGGTTAAGTGGTCCTCTGAACTTACTAAACTCTTCACGCCCTTTCTTTATTAAATCCACTGGATCCTTCTTCTGCGGATAAGAAGAAATCATTCTGATTGGGCCCATTCGCATTGTTGATTGTGTACCCAATGGATTTACCGGACAAATCGTCGTCAAAGTAAGTTCTTCGGCGGAGTGTACCATGCCTGCAGAATAAGCAACTTTGGGCCTGGACCAAATTGTTTTCATTCTTCCACCATTTGCTTTTTCGTTTGCAGCTGTTTCCCAAAGTGCCTCATGCGGACATTTATTGTCTGAAATAAAAACAGTCGTAGGTTTGGCGTCAGTCAAATGAGGAGGCAGTTTGGGGCCAGAACCAACTTCGGTCCATCCGTAGCCCATTCGGAAGCACTGCGTTTTTGGATTCTCTTGCTTTACTGGTGTGTAGACAACCTGATTCGCTGCAGGCAGTTCACCAGAGGCAAGGTGGTTCACTTTCGTGTCAGCATTGAGGGTACGACTGATTGTTGCGGATCCGGACTGAGTAATAACTCTCACATTGGAAGTAAGTAAACCTTTATGTAATTTTCCAGAACTTTCCTGTTCTGCTTGCGGTAAATAGGAATAACCTTTTCTCCGAGGTTCAAGGTCCGTTGGCGTAGACCCTGTTTCATGATGCGTGTTCATCTTTAGGGAGACATTTGCGTTGAATCGGACCTGAGATGACTCAGGTGGAGATAAGCTATCTACAGGCGACAAACGATAATTAGCTTTCCATTTTGTCACTTGATGCCCGACATGTCTGTTCTCAACCTGGTGTCCCAATTCAACACCTTGTGAATTTGGATGTGGCGTTACAAAGCAACGTTTGGCATCACTATGATTTGGACAGGGGCAATGTAGAGTGGAGGTTAGTCGCTTCATGGATCCTGCGTCATCCCTTGCGGGAGCCAAGTTGCAATCAGGTTGCTGATTTAGGAGTATTTCATCATGCGGCTGCCGCTCCATTTGTGCTGGGGGGCTAGGAATCTGAAGGACTTGAGTCACGATAGGCGTAGATTCCATATTTAGAAGTTCCGGTTCAGCAACCAGTGGCATGGAATCGGCTGGTTCAGAAAATAGTTGCACAACTTGCTGAAGAAACTGATCTGTATTATCTACACTGTAGCTGCTATCCCCTACGTAACTGGAGACGTCAGATGAAGGTGGCTGCTTTGCTTCAGGTAGTTTAGTAGGCCTCTGGGGACGTGATGATGGCCAGTGTCTTCTCGGTGGCCTAGGAGGTGTCCCCGGGTGACTAATGTTGCCTCCGGTGTTTACAGACGGTTCCGTAGGTTCGGATGTTTGCGCGCCATTGTGCGAATATGGCAGCTGTGAGGCGGTGGAAAGTGAAACCCTGGAGAGTTTTGGTGACGCTGTTTGGGAACAGGGTGCGGCATCATGATGACCAAGGATCATGGGCCACGGACTAGGGGGATATTTAGATGGTAGGCTTCTTGATGCCAAAGGCCCTAATTTGTCTAGCTTCGGAGTATAGTTGGATGTAAACCGCGGTATGGCAAGCCTTCCCTTATTGTGCTCCGAGTTCTTCCGGCTTCTGGAGATAAACTCATCAGAGTCAACACTCTTATTCCATTTAACATTTGTATCAAGAATCTGTTTCGAGGGATTTTTAACCGCAAAGTCATCGCTTGGTGTTACTTCCACCGTACTTACTGAGGATGTGACACGCGGATTTTTTTCCGGCGTACTATTTACGTTGAAGTTTTGCGTCCCCTGCTTGTAGCTCGCGAAGGGCAACATACTTTCAGCCGGGTTCTCGCATTTATCATCCGTCATCTCTGTGACTGAAGTGGCCGCTTTCAACTTCCAATCGTTTGTCACGGTATGGTTTGAACGTGTATGCGGTAGACTTCTAAGGATGGCAGGATGCCACATGTAATGTACGCCTCCTCGCATAAGTGGATAACCGCTTTCTTGACCTGGCCCTTTCTTCCAATCTACCATAGAGTAATAACCGTGCTCATTTAGCATACTCTGCCTACCACTTGAGACTACAGGATGGTACAGCATTTGATCGACATTCAGGAACCCACAACTCGGATTCAGCGAAACTGACGGCGTCGGCTCTGGGACCCGAATGGATGTATGCGGTTCGTTGTCAGCGCTACCCAGATTTTGCGACTGGTGAGAAACTGGCTGCGAGTGCCTCTGCTGCGTCTGATACGAGATTGGGTTTGTTTTAAATTGTTGCTCTCGGCTCTCTATTTGGGGATTCTTAGCGTCCACATCTGCGCCAACGATTGGGCTTAAGTACTCGTCCGATGGAGCTGGCTCATCTTGAATGCTGGCCTCACGTCTTCGTCGTTTATTCTCTCGAGCATCTGACAATCCGGTCCCGTTGGTTACACGATCGCCCTTCATATATGCTTCCGCAACAGTAAGAGTATATAGTTGGTGGGTTGGAAGTCTGGAAAAACACTTCTGTATAAGAGTCCTCTTGAAATTTCTCTTGTGCTCACCACTGCAGAGTACCTCAGTGTTATTGTCCACTGATCCTAAGCGTTGCACGGGTTGCGTGTCGTTCAATGTTTCTATTGTGGTCGCAGTATTTACTGAAGCAGGGACCAGGGCACCGTCACTGGGTAAACCGGAAAGGTATAAGGCTGAAGAATGGGATAGAGTAGTCTTATCAGAGTAACGCGGTTGTTTCTCCTCGCTTCCACTGGTGCTCTGTGGTTTCACTGTTTGCACGACTACTGGCGCCTTAGTTATATCGGGTCTGCCCGAACTCCATTGTGACACTCCTTTTTCGGCTCCAGAGTCGTGTTCCCCTTGATACAATGGCCTGCATCGCGAGTCACACAACGATGACATGGAGTCGAAGGCAGTTTCTGACATAGATGTGTCGTTCGCTGCCGCTTGTGTGACGTTTGAAAGTGAACTGCACATGCTTTCGTTGTGTGAGTCCTGTGTCACAGTTCCATCGACATAACCCTCATGGATTTGGTTGACTTCAACAGCGCTACCGAGCCGATCCAGTTGTCGCTCCAGTAATTGACGGTTCTCTGATTCGTTCGCGTTATTCAGCGCGCCGATGAGTAAAACGCAACGCAGCCTTTTGAGTTTAGCAATGCTCTTAGCACAACTGATTATATTGCTCATAATAGGTTGGGGCATAGCACTGCTCATCCTTGAACCCAAACTCGTTTGTAAAAGCCGCTTTATATTGTCATGGTTAAGGAGAAAAGCCTCATTATTCAAGGGTTCTACTTCGTTATCTTTCAAGTTCATCAGAAAGCAAATTACGCTTGGTTTCGCCAAAAGGGAATGCGCTTTACTCACCGAATATGAACGAACAGTGCTATTCCCAGAGTCCATTGTTAAGTTAACCACAGAGTCTGAAGTTGAACTGCCATCCAAACCTGATTCAGTACGATGGCTGTCGTCAGAGTCTGTGCCTACTGAGGTAGAACTCCTCAGCTGTCGAGACTGATTGGAATTCGAATTCAAGCACATATAACATGGACACATGAGATAATCAGGTTGGGATTTTGGGAAGTCTAGCATCAGCGTGAAATCAGCTGGAGTTGGACACAGTGAAGTGGAAGACATCGAACGATTAGGGCAAAAATCTCCGCACGACCGTCGTGCGAGCGGCTGGTTTGGGAGCGGCCGAAAACCAATCAGCATGGGACCGTGGTCAGGTGGGGCTGTTTCAGATTTACAGTACTGAAGAGCAGCATCGCTACAAAGAGACTGTCGCTTATCACCAGATTCCTCTGTCTTTCTTCTAAGGTAAGAATGGATTCTATCCAACAGCATGTTGCAACCTGTCAATTGTCTCGCAAAGCTCATTCGCTCATTTAGGTACTCGGTGGACTCGTTCATGAAGCACACTTCTGGTTGCTCCGGAAGTGAGTTTGATCGGCTGTGTTTGCGAGACTTCGGATGTGTTAATAGCGACTTCACAATATGTTCTTGCCCACTACATTCAGTTGGATGTATTAACACACTCGGTTTTTGGGAATTTGAGTCGAACTCCGTTATGCCGTTTCCCATCGCATCGCCATCGGTTTCGGAAGGCGTGGACACTGAGGTGCTTTCAGTTTCCAAGTACCAGTCTGAAGTCTCAGTATAATCCACTATTCGGCATACCCCGGCATTGGGGCGACCCATTTCATTCATTAATTTCATAGTTGACATCGGGGTCTCGATGTTTCGCACGGTCTTCTCTCGATTGTCATACGGCAAAGATCCCGTGTTCTGGGAAAGCTGTTTGTCCACGATCCTAGCTAGAAAGACGGGATGTTCTTGGCATTTTGTCAGTGAGATTGGATGACATATGGAGGCCCGGCTACATTCCCATTCTGATGGATACTTGTCCACTTGCATGCACGCGTGTTCTGCAGTGTCAAGAATAGTGTACTGTCTAGCCGATTTGGCTATGGTTCTTTCGCTCCCCCAAGTACGATGCACAAATGACCGATTCGAAGTGGTGTATTGCCTGGACTGACTGGTGATCTCTTGGTCTGTTACTATTGTAGGTGTTGGGTGGGTGAGTGAGTGTACGTCATCCGAACTCCCATGGGAAACACTCTGAACACTGTCCACATTTGTCGACGGAGACGCCTGATGTGCGTCGAACCTTATCAGTGTTGTCTCATCTTGAGAGGCTACACCACTAAGTATCACTGCATTTGGTAGTATGTTCGAGCTAGACCTAGTTAGCGCGTGGTACGGGAATTTCGTGGAGGCACAGTGCTGATCGAAGTGCCTGTTATATTGTCTTGCTTGCCCGCCACTTTTAAAATTTTCCGAGGAGCTTTCATTTTTCCAATGCTGTCTTGGGAAAAAAGCACGTCTTGAGCTTTTCTTGTGCACTTTCCTGTTTCGCCGTTCCGTTGCCTTGTGATGTAAACCGCTGATGGGTTTGACTTGCCTAGCTGCTCCCACTGACCATGATCGTACTTGTTTTGAAGAATGCGTGCGGAGTTTCCAGAGCGGATTCACAGCTGTGCTACATCGTTTCTGACTTTTGACCGCATCTTTGCATTTAGTGCCCACCATACCATTGCCAGCATGTCCACCATTCACTCCGAACCGGGCGGGTCGGACATGTTTGTTTAGTGAGCATAGGGGAACAGACTGGCACCGCAAAGGTTGCATTATCTGCATTTTTGAGCAAGCGATGTGGTTGGACAAACTTTTCGCTTGAGTAACGCGTGCAAACCTTTGTCTGCTTTCCGTAGCACTAAGCACATTCAACAAGCGCCTTTTTTGCCTACGAATTTTCCTTCCACTTCCCGAAGTGCGATAAATGCACCCATGGTTAGAGTCAAGCGTGTTGTCTTTCTTAGGTGTGAAAAGTAGTGGAATGTCTTTCTTGGTCTGTACCCCAAGAAAGCCCACACTGCCTGACATCTTAACTTTAGCGAGGATGGAGTCAGCAGCGTCATGCAGAGGGATTGCAATCCCAGTGGGGGTAGAGCTCCTCGACAATAAGCCTCGGATCAAACCACCGTATAGTTCACTGTCGGTTGTGGTTTCACTTGCCTTATCTCCTTCCAGATGCATGTTCCAGACCGGTGACATACTGTTCAGGTGACGACCGTCACTGTTTCGATCTGCCACATTCAGCTCATGGTACGAAGCACTGGAGTGCTGAGCTTCCGGCGACTCACCGTGGTCGAATATACAATTCTGCACCATCACACCTGCACAATTTGGATCTGTTACATCGGGTCGTTTCACTGTTGAATGATCATCAGTTATGTTCAATTCTAACGAACTTGGATGGTATCTGCACGGTACTGCAGTGTACAGGGTAGTATCTTCATTACTTGAATTCTCACTAAACACGCTGCATGGTGTAAGGAAAGCAGGATGGTGCTCAAACAAAGGCGCCGGATACGAGGTTCCTAATCCAACGGCGCCCTCATATTCACTCACTCTAGAAGGACGCATACAAATATTGTACGAATCGACTGCAATTTGGGTATTCCACGACCCATTAGCATCACCACCGTAATACCCTCTCTCGTTTTGATCATCAGCACGGATATGCTGACTGTGGATTACGAATTTACTAGAATTTCCCTGATTCTGCTGATTAACTGGAATGCATTCCGTCTTATTGCAAAAACGAGGTGACGTTTGTAATATGCTTTGACTGTGCTTAGTTGGCTGAGGTAATAGTTGCGATAAACAGCTTGCAGATATAGGCCTGCGTTGTATGTCTAGGCCACCAACTCGAACCATTCCATGCCGTTGTGCCGAAGGTGAGTCACTTAGTCCGTCACTGTCTACACTCCCCACTGAACGTACGTAGTGGCAATTGACATTCATGCTACTCTCCTTCGATATGCGCGGGTCAGTCTCACTTTGTATAATTCTTTTGTTCTTACATGAGCTCGCAGGACAGTTGGGGTATGAGAGTGGATTGGAGGTTCCAGGTTTATCCATGCAAGGTCCTCGGATAGTTTCGGCTCCTAGTGAAGCTGTGATCGCCAACGTATTGCACGGGTGATGCGAAATTCCGGTTTCCGTAGGAAAAGTGGGTGGCTTCTGCATTTTCGTGACAAACAGGTTCTGGTCCTGAACCTGCAGTTTGGAATACACATCTCTTTTGTTTCTTGGGTCATCAGAAGTGAGGCGATTTTCGAGAGCTGCGACGGCAACATTGTATACCTGGTTAAACGTCTGACACCTCCTCACTCGTGAAGCCATGGTAGGTCGACGGATGCGTTCCACTGTAGGGTCCCAAGGCACTTCTGAGATTATTCTAAGGCAGTGTTTGTCCGGAGTGTACCGTTCTTTTGGTTCCCATAGATCATTCACTTTCCTGTTGTTTTTCCACATATCAGGCGTAATATAGCGTTTTCTCCCTCTTGATGACCTCACTTTTTTGAAACGTGTTTGGCTTTTGCATTTATCTGATGGTACCTTGTCTGTTACCAGAACTTTTGGTTCATATTTAATGGAAGAAACCTCTTCCAGTGTTTGAACTGTGACGGCATTTGGTGAGGCGTTCTGTTGAAGCAGGCTAAGCACCAACTTGTGCAAACTCCCCTTATTAGGCGATACCTGTCCCACATTTGCGTACGATGAGGTTTCGCAGATTGTCTCGTGTACATCAATCGGTTTTGAAGCACGGCTTTCGTTTACAGGGTAGTGTCCATCCGTCACCTTGGCTCTGCTACATGCATGCAAATCTGCGGTCGCCCGTTGGCTTATACTGTCTGCATTGGCGAGTAACACATGCGTCAACTGAAGCAGTGAGTATAATGCCGACATTTCATCCCAAGGTTCGTGCAGATCTTCGTTTCCACATATTCTTTCAGTTACTTTCAGGTGATTAATCGGGGGCTTAATTGAAGCATCCTCCAATGGCAGGCTATTGTACCATTGGTACGTGAAGTGACGAAAAACATCTTGTTCCGCTTGGGTTAGCGATGGTGGGCTATTCAAACACTGACGTAACTGGACCTCGAAAAACGGTCTCAACGCTTGCAGCGTACTTGCAATAGAGGTTTGCGGACCGGCGAGTCGGAAGATCAAACGAAGCGCTTCCATAGTAGTTCTGTGGGCACAGCTTTCGTTCAGGGGACGCTTTGCTTTTTGCCATGTTTTAATAATTTCCCACATAAGTCCATATGGGTACGTATCATCTGGCGATTCTTCAACGTTTGGTTCGTTTAATTTCACCTTTTCACACAACATAACCGGCTCAGTCTCTGAAAACTGCTTGGTAAATATCGGTTCAGCTGCTGCACACAAGCACCACTTGCCTTGTTCGTTATCTTTAGTTGTCTGACCCTCTGATTTCTGGTCAACCATTTCTGGCAACATCGCTTGCTCGGTCACAACACCTTCAACACAATCAAACTTATCCACCAGAGTAAGATTCTCGATATCTTCCTTCGATGACAAAGATCTGGATGTTTGCACCCCACAGGAAACCTGCTCATGTCGAATATCGGAACGGCGTCCACTAAGGCCCTTAAGCGTGGTTTTTGGGGGACTGTTGACGCCGCCATAAGTGGTGCAGTAAACATTTCTGTACAGCAGATGTTTGCAAGGTGGATGGAATGGAGGTTCTCCGTCCGCTTGCTGGTGCACAGAATTCTCTGATTCGTTCGTGGAATCAGAGTAGCTGGTGTCAGTATGGGAGGTAGAATGAGTAACGGTTGTTTCTGAGCCTCTGGAAACTCCATTCTCAGAGGATACTAAGACCTCGCTGCACTTATCGCTGCCCATCCCTGACTCCTGTTCGACAGACCACCTCTTCCTTTTTTCCCATCCCGTAGGTTGTGCCTCAAAATGTTTCGCGCTGCCAAACTCATTATCACGTGTATTTATGTAATTAGGCGACTTTAATACAGTGACACCAAATGGATTGTGTTTCTTAGTCGGATCCTCAGATATAGCACAACTGACAGTAGGATCACGGGATAGATACCGACTATCTTCACGTACCAACTGCGATAATCTACGGGCTGATGATCCCAACGATCCAGACTCCACAGACTGCGCATTTAGCGACAAGAGTTGTGAACGCGACGCCTGCATCTCTTGTTGCGTTAAGGTGAACGCCTTGTTGCTTTGCCTCGCAGCTGACACCGACTCCGCAACAGGTGATTTTAGGAGGTGTTTTTGTGGATCGCTCTGTTCGGTGAAATGGAGCACGGACTGTTTATTAGCATCTTGCATGTTCGTCTCTTGATTTGCGCACGCTGTATCCATTTGATGCCTCGAAGAGCTGCTCGCATCTCCTACACTTGCACGATATCTGTCTATAAGAAACAATATAGCGTTGAGTAGAGCCTCGCTTCTGTTGTGACTGATTGCTTGAAAAGCCATCAACGTTTGTTGTGGAACCACGATTCTACCACTGTCCACCGGACACTTGGAGAAATTCCATAGTCCTTTCTGTAGGTTATCTAATTCAGTGGTTTCGGCTAGGTGAGAAAATTGCCTGCTTTTAGAGGTCAAGGGTCCTGCAGAGCCATCACCGTGTTTAATCATGCCAAATGAGACTGATCTGACCCCATCCTCGGAGGGGATGTTACGAGCGATCGTACCGATCGCTTCGCTGTTCTTTGCTGATTCGTCATTTTGTGAGTGCAAGTCGAGAGGCTCTCCTAGTGCGGATGAAATAGTACCTTGAGCAGGTAACGACCACATGGTACTAATATTTTTCTGGAGTATGGGTTGTGCTGCAACAGAGGTAGATACCAGTTCTACCATGCTTGTTTGCGTGGCACGTGTTTTCTTTGGTAACTGGGGTGCCAGAAAGGACCTCGGAAGTAGCAGCTGAAAGGCCCTATCAGCGCACGAATTCGGCAGAATCATGTGTTTGTTAGTGCTTGCTTCACTTGCAAACTGGTTATCCATTTGCATTTTTTCGCTGTAAGTCTGCCGTTTGGTTTTTCGCCCCACTTGCAGATTAGGCGTACTCAAGAGTGTGGTATGTAATTCCCTAGGCACGGTGGGATGCCGATGCTTAAGAAACGTTCCATCTCTCAAATCAGCCCCAGGAGTACGTCTCATGAGCAGCCCCCTCTGCTCTCTGAGAGACACTTCCTCCTCGGAATCTAGGTGCATTGAGAACCTTGATGTTTGAAGTAATCCGGAGTCGATTGGTGTGCTTAATAGCATTGGCTGGGCATCACATGAGTAGAACCTTGGACACCTGCCACTTGGCTCCGGTTGATGCTTTTCAACTATGCCGGCGACACCTCGCAGCACTCCTTCATTTTCAGCAGTTTTGAGACCAGATGTTTCTTCGGGATATGTTCTCCACTGTTTCAATGTTAAAACACCTGGGGCTGTCCAGGGGCGGCGCTTGCTGAAACCGTGTTCCTTACTTCGTCCTTTTTTGAATATATTTTCTTGTGTCCTTGGCGTCGGCTGCAGATTACCGCACTTGAAAAATCCAGTATCTCCCTTACTAGTGTCGCGTTCCAGTCTTCGCAATCTAACCATTTGTTCAAAAGCAAAAGTTGTTTGAGCGTATCTCATATTAGCTGGGACGAAGCTTGCTTCTAATCTACTAAAGTTTGGTGAGTAGTGCCGGCCGTAGTCTCCCATTATTTCGGATTGCCTTGTCACGAAAGAGACATGCTTCGTTTTGGTCACCCTGGTCGACTTAGTCAGCTGGTTCAATGCGCCATCTCCAATCGGTACTACGGACTTGGTCACTAATGGTTGGTGTCGGTCAGGTGAATTCTGAAGTTTGGCAGCCTTATCTTTCCGCCGTCTGATCGTTTCCGCCAACTCGGGACACTGAATGTCAATATCACACAGGTTGGATGAGGTACTGGACAACAAAGGACACAGAGGAGCTAACTTGTGATCAGAGTCCCGTCTGGCCATACGCCTCGTTTGCTGTTCAGTGTCCTTTCTCTTTGGCATTCGGGACGTATAGTAGTTAGGCAGGTTCCCGTTGGACGTTACATTCATATCTTGTATAGCTGGTCGCTGACGGTAGTGCATCCAGGCCACTTGCGGTTGTGACAGGGTATGGTTGTGTGCTTCAGAATTCACTTCTCTCCACTTCTCCACGCTGAATTCCGCGTACTGGGTGCTGTTGCTTTTATTGTGACCGAAAGGGCCGTCAGGTGACTGTGTTGCGATTCTTCTAGATAAAAGTATCCAACAGTAGTATGGTTGACGAAGTAGCTCCTCTTGAGTTCTTCCCGCCCTTCGTAAGTGAAACCATCGGGATCCGCTTACTTTGGATAACCGAATCGTCTAAACGAAAGGACAAAGCGAATGAGACGCAATCACTTCAGCGAGATGTCTGCAAACTAGGCTAGGCAGTTTTTTGCTGTGATCCATTATCTCCTCTTACCAAGTGACTGCATAAGCAAATAAACATCAAAACAATATCTAAGTACTACTTTGTTTATGCACGTAAATTCCCCGTCGTTTGCAGCTACAGCTCCGACTTGAGACAAACTGCGCATAGTGGAACGTCCCCCTTTATTCCTAAACGCACAGTGCAGTAAGTAGTGAGGGTTTTAACACCTGGCGGTTCAGTTTCTTGAGCACATCAAGGTGGCTTGATCATACAAGTGGTTGAGGTATAGCGACTTCACTCTTTTACTAAATAGAAATTTGATGTCTACGGACCTCAATAGGTGACTCCTATGCTTTGTATGTTAGGCTTGAATATCAATGGAATGCACCTGTTCTAGTGGGTTTTCTCAGTCTGCACACCTATTTTTATCGGTGACGCGTCCCTGACGACCCTCCTCATTAGAAATTTTGAGTAACATAGAGCCGTAGCCTTACTAATTACGTGGCAATGCTCCCAGAAATGCACTCTTGGATGCAAACGGTTACTTGAAGATAAAGCCGTCAAAACTAGTAGGAAAACAAGTATAGGGATGTTGGGAAGATAACTCATTCTTCTATACTTTTGTCAGCTTCTGCGTGCCCAGGTTATGTGCTTTTCATGTTATTTGCCACTGAGTTGAAGTGGGGCGAACTCACCACTGGCCATGCTAGATACTTCATGTTGGGCAAGTGGAATGAGCTGACAAGAATCCCTTCAGCATTGAAATGCTGACGTGCTATGCCGCTACTACCTCATTCAGGGAAGTTACACGAGTTGCTCGTTTCACTTCATTGAACCAATCATGAACGAAGGTGCGTTCTAATCGCTCGTCCGTGAACACCTTGTTCTGCCGCCGTTCTCAACTGTATTTTGTCTCGAACGTGTGTTCACACTGATTCGATCCAGCTTCATTTGCGCTATCTAGTGCACCCCATCATTTTGACCTAGATTATGTGCATTATCTTTTATCTCCACATTGCGGTTTTCGCGCCATTCCCGCAAAAACACAATCGAGGAATTTTCCGAATCACGAACCACATAGCAATATTTGTGGTCACAAACGAAAGCCAACTACACGTTTCATCTGACGAATTAGCAACTACAGCTGTGCACCGTTCATCAATGTAGCTATCGTACAGGTCGTGTCCGTATAGCCGAGTGAACGATCTAGCCGCACCATTCATCAAAGTAGCCATCGTACAGGTCGTGTCCGTATAGCCGAGTGAACTATCTAGCCGCTTAAACCTGCCCTCGCATGGACCTGACGCACAGAACGTGACCACCTTGAACATGCAGACAACTCAGCGCACACGCTACCGGCAAGGAACCAGAAGCGCTCGGACCTCTCTGGGCTTACCATCGATCGACGCAATGGATCGTGGCGATCAATCAAAAGCCCATGTTACCGCATCCAGATCGACAGTAGTCTGTGGCCTTCCTTCCTGCCACAAAAATATACGGATCGGTATTCAATATAGCAGTTACCAAGACAAGTTCCATCGCAAATGTCCCGAGCTCATGGTGAACCAGTTGGAGCAACACAATAGTAAACCAGATTCACTGTGGTCCTGTTCAGTGTACAAGGTCATCCCACTGGTAAAGACTGTACATGAACTATCGCATAAGTACGAAAGACTAGCGGCAATGTTTGAACAAATGAGGAGCACCAAAATCGATTCGTTTTTAAGAAGCATGCCAGAGAGTAAATCTCCGTCATTCCCACCCAGCACCGCATTAAAACTGACGAAGAAGGCTAGGCAGCGCGCTAAAAACGCATCATCTGTGGCATTAAACGCCAATACCACCAATTGCTCAAATATGCCTGAAACAATCACCTCCAGTCTGATTGCAATGAGCACGATAAGAGCCACGTCTACCCTCCAAACAGTTCCGAAAATGCATGACTTCGACATTACTAGTGGCTGGAACTCGGTTGCTGCCAAAGGTGCCCGGAAACCTAAAGCTTCGGCCACCCCCATTGGACCCATAGTAAACGAAGAACACGAAGCTGTACCAAAACAACCTCCATTAACTGTATACAGACCAGCTGGTCAGTGGACCTCAATCAGAGTTGCACGTAGTAAACCAGCGGTAATCTGTACCAACGTTCCAGAATCGACGTCAAATTCCTTAGAAGGAAAGCAACTGGCTGATGAGAACCAGTTGAACTCTATATGTTACACTATAGGTGTTGAAACTAAGCCAGTCAAGTTGACACGCGTTACCCGTCACCCAAACCCATAGCACAACGGTGGACTAAGACTTCTCCGAGTTTTGTTGACTTCCGACGATGTAGCAGTAACTGTTCTGTTATCAACAGCTCATTCCGGAATAAGTCACGTTTCATTCGCTTATTCCAGGATATCCCGTGGAGCGAGCGCAGACAGGCGAAACACTACATAGACGAAAACCGGAAGGAATTTGTAGCCAGGAAATTCCTTGTACCAGGTGTTCCCGAGGCTGGAAGTCATGATGAGCAAGAAGCGACCCTTCACGACCAGTAACAATGGCAATGCATTTGCGAGACACTCTTCCTGGAAAACATCATTACGCAATCAATCTCGAGGCTGCGCCGGTCGCCAAATTACAAGGGATGTAACCCGAGGATTGTGAAAGTGGTTCTTCAATCTAGACAAATGTCCGCAACGGTAGTGGAGGGATGGTATGTGGGCCGCAGCAGCCCTGCTTCCGAGCTCCGGATCAAAGCAGCATCTGCTAAGCAAACACACGAAAGTAGCCATTTACTCAGACCACTTACCGACAAGAATTCGGATAAGTTCAATCAACTAGCCAATGAAACTGGAAAACACACCCCATACATTACATACAAAGGGAGAAGCAAAGAGGTACTGGTAGAATCCATGAATCGGACACAGATGAGTTCATCATCCCCCACCCAAAAAACGCTTATTTGCCGACCTTTTATCGGTCGGCACGACATTGTATCCAAAACACGCATCCCACAATGCATTGTTAAAAACAAAGAAATTTTTTCTTGCACCTACACCAATGCCCAAGATCGCCTGAACAAGCTTGCCGAACTGCGGCTATGTCAAGCGTCACATGCCTGGGACCTCATACACCTTACAGAAGCCTGGTCGCACACAGAAAATATCGATACAGAAACCGCGATAAGTGGTATGTCCCTTCTCCGAAACGATCAGTCTAGCAAAGGCGGGGTAATGTTACACTATCGCAACCACCTGCAGCGTGAACCGGTGGCCGATCCGGAATCACTGGTCATAGACCCGCTCTGGTGCAGTCTTCGACAAAGACGCAACGACACTTGCCTATTGGCCGTTGTCCATTGTCCCCCAATGTTCACCCCAGAAATCGATTTCCGCCTGGCATTAGCCTTGGGAAGGGCCCTACCACGACGATACAGTCATGTTCTCATCTCGGGTGACTTCAGTCTCTATGACTTGGAACTTCTGGAATCCCCCAACGAGTTGTTTAAGGCCGACCTGCAAGTGTATATTGCAACCATTCCGCTCTTCAACCATATCAGTTTACCCACCTGAGTCAGAGCCGGAAATAAACCATCTGTGCTTGATTTAGTGCTCACGGACGAAGAGCTTATGGTTGAGAAACCAAGACTGGAGAGTCCTATGGGGCGAGGTGACCACGAAACCATAATTTACGACTTCGTGTGTTATGCAGAATATCCACAAGAGCACATTACCTTGTTTCGAACAAGCACCCACTACGACAAACTGGCAGAACATGTGGGGGATGCCAGCGGGAAGATTCCGGACGACCGTTCCATTGACAGTTTTTCGTTAGATTTTGCTGGCAAGTTCAGTGATTTGATCATATCTACATAGGTCACCAAACCCCTTCGTTCCGCAAGATCGCAATCATTCATTGGGAGTAGAACCCAAAAACACATGACAGTAAGAGACGCAGCGTGGCAGGTGTATAGAGCGAACACTAGCCCTGACAACTGGAGTAACTATGTTGTGCATCGTAATCACTGTACCCGACCTGTGCGCGAGGACAAATAATTACACCAGCGGAGTCTATCGGAAAAGTTTCGTGTTAACGAAAAGCTGCTGTACAGACATGTGAACAGCCTCCGGAATGTGAAACGTGGTGTTCCCCCACTAATATCAGCCGATGGATGTGCTCAAACCGCCGAGGATGCAGCCAAGATTCTACGGCTACAATATGCTCCGATTTTCCGACGCGCTCCAAGCAGCTATAACATACCTGCCCCATTCTCCCAGATGCCAGTCTGTACACATGTCAGATTTGGTTCAGCGAGCACTTTGAGGAAACTGTTATCGTTGCGCAGCCATAGTTCCCCGGAGTCAACAGCAATCCTCCGAAAGCACTAAGGAGACGAACAGCAAGCCCCTTGGTATGTGAAAGCAAGGTATTATTATCCCGATTTTTCAAAGTGTTAGCCGTTCAGAGCCGGCCAACTATCTCCCAGTGACTCTCCTCCCGGTGCTCTCTAAGGTGATGGAATCGATCATGGCTGAGGTTGTAATGAGCTACTTGAAAGGTCTAACATCATAGCACCGGAGCAACACGAATTCCGTCAGCATCGG